AGAAAAGTGAAAGGTCGCCGACTTTTTTACGGTGTTCTAATAAGGTCAAAGAGTTAGTGAGTGTGGCATCACCTACCAGGCAAATGGCTCTTCTCTGGATGGACTCTAAGAGCATGCATATGTTTGGGTGCTGAACCCTATACATGAGAACAGTATTCTAAAACTGGCTATATCTGTGTTTTATGGATCATGAGAAGCTCTTGAGGTGCTAAGTAGATTTTCGCATGATAATATGGGTTTAATAAGGTTATTTCTAATGATTACGAAGATATTTGCATTCCGAGTTTCCATATGCTCAATGAGTGTGACAGAGAAAGAAGTTTCGATATTGCGCCGTCACACCCATCGAGCATATGGAAACTACGTATGTGAATATCTTCATAAGTAATTGTTCAAAATAACCGTATCAAACCCGGTATCGTTGAATTAGTTATGATAATCTCTAACAGATTATGGAATAAAATACAGGGTGTTTCATTTGAGAATCGAAAGTTGGGGTCGAGGTTGGGTACATTTCCGGTCAAACTGGAAGTACGAGAAAGCAAGTAGATATGTCAAAAAATGTCAATTAGACTATCATTTACAACCCCCAAATCACGTTTTACTACTTTCAATAATGAAAAAGTTATTGGGGTGAGTCACATTGGAAATCACCCGGAATACCGTCTTACATTCTCATCGCATCGCAGGACAGGCAGGAAGCGTACTATTCATATTTACATAGGGTTCTAACATGCCATATTCGTTCGGAGGTTCTTACAAATCACAAATCAAATTCCCGTGATATTCCCTATAGTCATGTCTATTTTTCTTCCGATATTTCCATTATCAGAATTGCTTACCAGATTGTTTCGGTTTTTCTGACTGTTCTGGGTGGGGGGGAGGGGAGTCCAGACCCCATGAAACCCCCCTTAATTACGCCACTGCTTCTACCTATGAGACCGGGATCCCACAGCGTGTTTATTGTATAATTTGTATCTTATTTATTCACGCTCATCAGTATTATCACCTTCCTAATTCCACCTACCCCTACACTGATACGAGCTCACCGAATAAAAATCGTGGACCATAGGGTGGGTGAAGTTATAGTGAGAACCCCGGGGTCTCGCATCATTACTTACGGTTCGGCGTATGTCGCAAGTAACTAAGTAAGGTGGATAGAATATGGTGTAATCACAGACAGTGTTTTGTTTCTCCTACAACGCTTACCGCAGATTCCGCAATAATGGCATATTCGTTCTCAGTTGTCCGCAAGATGGCGACACTTTTCACAGTATTCTTTCATGACAGAAAACAGCGCTTGCACACCGCTTGCACACCGCTTGCACCAGAAATAATAATATCATAACATTCATAACATAACCTCGAATCAAATGAAATGAGATTAAATTTGAAAGTACGAAACTGTTATTTTGGGGAAGTTCAATTATCATCAGTTCTACAAGTCTACAACCTTGAATTTTGGTTGAGATTTCGCCATCTAACTGGTAAAATGTTACCTATATTCCGCGATATTGAAACGAATCCTTCTGTCAAGTAGGTCTTAGGTCAAAAACTTTGACTGAAAAACAGTAGATGGGATTTGATAGGAGTTTCTACACCATCTAAAAAAGGTTTGGCGGACGGCGTTGCCGAACGTGTAGGGTGGACACGATGCGCAGTGGTGCTGTATAGATAGATAGATAGTTAATTGGTCTTTTAGATGTATCGAGAATACAAATAAGATAAGTCATTATATAAATAAGTTACTAACTCTAACCTAGTGGCTATAAAAAGAAAAAATACTGAGTAAATAGAGTAAATAGATAGACTGGGGTAAAACCAGAGAGTAAACAACTCAGCACAACCACATGAATTTACAGTGGAAACTAACAGACATGTAAAAAAACATTATATAAAAAAGAAAATTAAAATTACAAATTAGCTATCAGGTAACAGCATCATTTATTTCTAGACAGTAGGGCAGCTCTGTATTCCTCTATTGTGTAGAATATATTCGAGATTAGATAAGATCGCATGTGTTTTTTGAAACTGTTGTCCAACAGTCCAAATCCTTTACATCGGAAGGTTACATTATATAAATTCACATCAAGAGAGTTTTTGTTGGATTTTTGCAGTCTGAATTTAACAGGTCTTATTAATTGCTTGCCTTTAGTATTGTTGGAAACAATTTTTAATCAAAAGTTATCATTTGTGAATGTTCGGCATTTTGGGAATTCAACTAATTATTCAGAAAAACTCAAGTTAATATGATCGCCGAACATTTTGGTTGGATCGGGGGCCAACCACCTCCGCGCACTTTTGTCTTTAGGGTGTAGAGTATGCGTTTATCATACATTACTGTTCGACATTGATATTATATTATTTCTAAATGAACTAAAAGTATATATAAGAATGAATCAATTTATCCTAATTTTTAAGAGTACCAATTTTTCCATAAACCTTTCACTATTAGAAGCTGAAAGAAAGGTGAATAAAGGGTGAATAAAGGTACCCAGAATGTACACCTTCATTTTTTCCTTTCTGGAGAAACAAACCTGAAAAGACAATATGATGTAGCTCTAGAGTTTAAAAATTTGAACAGATCCACACATCCTGAAAATAAATTACTATAGTTCTACTAAAAATCTGAACAATTTTCAACCTATCCATGAAAGACAACTTCTGTTTGTTTTGCTTGTTTTGCAGCCAAAGGCAACACAATAAATAACCATTGTTTATCAACTAACTCAACTTCTAAGCTTCCAAAATGTCTCCCAACAACTTTTTCTCCACTCTTATTACATAAAGAAAAGCACTGTTAATTTAAATATTTTATGCCATCAATAAATGTATATGTATATATAGATCAGCTACTTGGTTGTAGGTCAATAATATAAGATGTTATTTGTTAACATACCCTGCTGAATTATAGACGTCTGATACAAGACAAGCACTTGAGTGCTTAGGTGAAGCGTCTTGACTCAGCAGAGTAATAAAAATAAATTGATCTTTATATGGAATATGTACTTTAACAACAATGAATAAATTGAATTGAATTGAATTGAATTCGAAATCACAAATATTGGTAATTTTGCACTTATCATGCGATGTTTTTTTTTCGAAAATTTTTGTTGGTACTTATTTTTTTTTTACTATTTATCCAGATATTTCAGGAAAAATTTCGAAATTTCGTGTTGGATGCATTTACAGGTACTTGCTCTTTTTATTTTGTCATTGGACACTTTATATACTCATGATGTACTTCACTAAACATGGATAAATCACAAGAAAATCATATTTCTAGTTGACTCATTTAATAAAAAAAATGTGTCCAACATTGTGTAATATATAAAAATGGCCAATTGATGGAAAAAGAAGGGCCAATTGTTCTAAATGCAATCCAGAAGACAGGCGGAAAAGAAGGTGAAATTTGTAACTTTATAGTGAAATATCTTAATAAATAATGGTTTGTTCACATTTTCATTATCAAATTCGTGTTTTTCTGACAAAAATACGTAAGTACCAAAAACATTTTTCGGAAAAAAACCCATCGCATGATAAGTGCAAAATTACCCAAATATTTTCAACAACAATCAATTCACACCAACAAATTCAGTCTTTTTGAAGAAACAGAACACGCCAAATTTAGCGATGTTTCACATAACAAAAAACAATGAAGTTCTGTCTTCACTTTTTTGCCTGTTTAGATAAAAATAAAGATCTCAAGTACTCCAATCATCGGATAAAAGGAAATGTATACACCAATCCACCATTAAACAACATGAGTGTGAAAGAGACAGGTTACCGTAACACAAGATATCTTTGTTGCAGCTGCACCCGACACACTCTGTGACGGCAGTCTCCCTTCCAGTTGTTTACATTGAGTTCAATGCCTGACTGTGAACAAATGAGACACAAAAAACACGCTGTGGGCTTCCGGTCGCATTTAAACATTCCACTATAGGATTCGGCATCCGTCTCGATTCTCATTGGCTCATTTGAATACATCTCACTATCACAACCAATAACTGAATGGTGCCGAATCATGTAGCACAATGATCGAACAGTGCCCAAATCGGTAGTGGAATGTTATACAGGATGATTCATTAAGAATAGGAAATCTCTGAACTACAGATAGTAAACAGTAAAATATTGAGATTCAGCCTAACATGAATGATTAAAAAGTTGCTGGTTTAGGAGATACAGGATGTTCAAGGGGGATATTTTATTTTAAAATGTCTCAATAACTTTGTAAGTTTCAACAGCATGAACATGAAATCCTGTAGTTTCAGGTTTTTTGACATTAGGAATACGAATATGCAACCTATCTTGTGATTGATCATAGAGGGCAATTTTACATAAAAAGTGTACTTTTCTTGAAGAGTTGATTCCACAATTTTATCAGATATTTTAATTTGTTTGGAAATCCATCAAAAAAACACTCATTTTAAGCACTTAATACAAAAATAACTATTGTCTTCAAAGTTACCCAGAAGGCTATGAGTGGTATTTTTTTGCAGTGAAAGCTTTGTTCAACCTTTGCAATTTGAAAATGGTATTTGAATATCTTGTGACTTGGACATCAGAGAGAATCATCACAAATCTCTTGTGGTTTCAAATGATTTTTATTTTTATGATTATTTGCAGTTGTTGTTAAGTTACAGTATCAATTTGAATAAAACTCAGGACTAGTTCATTCAAATCTCATTTTTATTAAAACAACATTCTTTTTTTTTCTACAATGTCAATCTAGATATCGAATTTTATTTTAAAACATCTAAAACCATCAGGACAACAGGGTTTCTATAAATGATCGTAGCATCGTAGTGGCCGTCTAATTATTTTTGAAGTTTTGCTGGTAATTTCTGGAGAATATTCGTAAAAATACTATGGAGTCAACTGATCTTTATTTTCTTATCAGTCCTACTGAGGATTGCAACTTTTGTATATTATTATGTTTGATGATATGTAGTAGGTATTCAATAACAGGAAGTAATTAAAAATATATTGCTTTTAAGGTTTTGAGGAACTTCAAAAGGGATACTTGAAAGCTGCTCCCGTTATTTTAAAGGAAGAAAATGGCCAGACACCAAGATTTTTTATCAGGTGCCTTACTGAAATGGAAGAATTCATTAATGAGATGTGGGAAGATAGAGAGGGCAGAAAGAACATGAGTAAAAATAACAGGTAGGATTTTCTATTGAGTATATGTATATTTAAGGGTTTGCAATTTGACACTAGTTTCTTTTTATTTGTTCCATCCCGGTGGCAGTTGTAGAAACAGATTTCTTCAGAATCTATGTCATCTATGACTTTATAGGTTGTAAGTTAATCACTTCAACCAACTGAATAATAAAGCACAAAATAGTTACTGAATGTTTCCTACAAATTCTCAATTATATTGTTTTGTTTTTAGTAAATCTTTAGCTTCTATGAGACAAAAACTCAGAAAGTATTTGAAAGATTTTGAAGATGATGTTGCAAAGTTTAAAGAAAATCCTGAACAACCGGATGATGAAGAGGAAGAGGAAAAACGTGAGTATTAGAGTTTAATGGTTTTCAGGATGTTACTACTTTTATGAAAATTGTGGGTCAGTCCTTTCCATTAGAGTTTTTGCAGAGAATATTTCTGACAATCCCCTCTTCTGTGTCATGATTAATTACCTGTTCACACAAAATTTCAAATCAAATATTAACCAAGAAAATAAATAAAAACAAAATCAGAGATTTTCAGTTATTTCGAAATATTTCAAGAACGGCTGGATTTTTTTCAGTTTACAAAACGGTATTTTGAAGAGGTATGGGAAATAGCAATAAGTACTGTCCCTATGGAATCGACGGTAGTGCCAAACAGTCGATCGTGAGAGCTTTCGGAAGCAATTGCGAAAAAATAAATGATGACCACTCCACAAATAACATTTCAATTTTATCAGATATTCAACTTGATACAAGTATGATTTACTTTGTAAGTCATTTTCTTATGTTTTGGTTTATTATTTACTAGCTTTTACCCGCGGCTACGCTCCTGTTAAAGCTCTTGCATAAAAAATATCAAAGATCGACTACAGCTTCAACTGTTCCGATTTTTTCTATATTCAATGTTATTTTGTTCTGTCATTCGAAATAATATTTCTGTATACTATTGTAAATTTTCCGTCCGGTGCAAAATTGTGTAAATTTCCGGCATCAGAACAGGGTACATATAGTTGAGAGGAGCCTGGATTTTCTAAGTGAACTCCTGCTACCAGTAATCTCTGCCCTCGTGCTTTGTTTATAGTAATGCAAAGCTGAGCATGACTGGAAACTACCCTTTTGAATCATTTTTGGTTTGTAATATTGGCATATTGGATCCGCCATCTTGAATTTCCTATTTTAAAAGAAGGAATCATAATCTCTGGATTTAATAATCATAATATCCGACCCCGAAAACCCCCGCATACCCAGTTTGAATAGAATCGGATCATAATTAAAAAACTCGTTCGCCATATTGGTTCCGCCATCTTGAATTTCCAAATTGTGATGAAAGAATCATAACCTCTGACCCCGACAACCCCCAGATAGCAATTTTGAATAGAATCGAAACATACTTACAAAACTTTTCCGCCATATTGGATTCGTCATCATACATTTAATAATTTTGACGAAGGAATCATAATCTCCGACCCCGAAAACCACCGGATATCAGGTTTGAATAGAATCAAATAATAATTACAAAATTCGTCCGCTATATTGGATATGCCATCTTGAAATTTCAAATGTTGACGAAAGAATCATAATCCCCAACCCCGAAAATCCCCAGATACCAATTTTGGATAGAATCGACCATAATTACAAAACTTTCGCCATATTGGATCGGCCATCTTGAATGTCCTTATTTTTGATGAAGGAATCATAATCTCGGACCCCAGAAAATCACCAGATACCAATTTTGAAAAGCTCGTCGTCATATTGAATTTTCAAATTTTGACGAAAGAATCATTATCTCCGACCCCGAAAACCTCCAGATACCAATTTTAAATAGAATCGGATCATAATTTAAAACTCGTCCGCAATATTATTCCCTTGCTCACCCATGCGTACGCCCCTGTATACTATTTAGCGATACAGAAAATATCCGGCCAAGAGCTAACATCATTGAAATAATCGACCTCTACAGTGAATGCCTCCACAGTATTTTTTTCAATTAATCACTACGAAAAAAGAAAAAAAAATAGGTGAAGGGTACGGAATTTGAACCCATGATCTTTGGCTTATGTACAGTCGTATTAAAAAAAAGCGTACAAGTATATTGGAGGGAGAAATTAACGTCATCCTAATTGCCTACAACGGGCTATCAGGAATGAATGTTTACCAAATGTTGACAGTAGAGTAATCATAGGTTCTTGAAAACACAAAGCATTGGCTGAGCCAATTTTACACAACGAGAACTAGGAAGCCGATATCTTCTATGTTTAATACTTGTACGCTTTTTTATTGAATACGACTGTACAAAACAGATTTATAGAGGAATGATAATCCTGACCACACGGATTTTTTTGTTGGCTCTGTAAATAACTATTTTTTTAAATAAATACAAAAGGCTCAAAGTCATGTCCAATGTGGGTATTTCGTAGTTGGAACTAATTTTTTATTTAATAAAAAGTACCCTATATTCTTTCTCATACATCGAAGAATATGTATAGAAAATTTCATGATGATCGGTTGTGTAGTTTTGTCGTGAAAGCCCGACAAACATACATTCACATTTATATTATTAGTAGGGATTACCTACGAGCAGGCTACCCCTCATCGCCAGTAGTCGTACATGGCGATCGTTTCGTTTTGTCATCTGAATGTTTGGTGGTAGATCACAGTCCCTAAAAGTGTGCACTCCTGCTGTATAGTATGTCCTCAATATTTCACGAAACTCTATCACCCACATAATCCTTTCAGAACAAACTGTATCACTGTACATTATAAACCTGATGAGTAGAATAAATAATGATGAAAATGATTGATACATACTCTGTGGTTATCTTTATATAGAAGAACCCGATCAGGATTCTGATAATGAAGCTCCTCCTAAAAACCAATTCCTGAAAGCCCCCGCGAAACCAGTCATTGATGACAAAGACGAGCCATCATAATGAACCTTATGAGCTGAATAAATAATGATAAAAATGATTGATACATACTCTGTGGTTATCTTTGAATAGAAGAACCCGATCAGGATTCTGATAATGAAGCTCCTCCTAACAACCAATTCCTGAAAGCCCCCGCGAAACCAGTCATTGATGACAAAAACGAGCCATTATAATAAACCTTATGAGTTGAATAAATAACAATAAAAATGATTGATACATACTCTGTGGTTATCTTTGTATAGAAGAACCCGATCAGGATTCTGATAATGAAGCTCCTCCTGAAAACCAATTCCTGAAAGCCCCCGCGAAACCAGTCATTGATGACAAAAACGAGCCATTATAATAAACCTTATGAGCTGAATAAATAATAATAAAAATGATTGATACATACTCTGTGGTTATCTTTGTATAGAAGAGCCCGATCAGGATTCTGATAATGAAGGTCCTCCTAAAAACCAATTCCTGAATTCCGAAACCAGTCATTGATGACAAAGACAAGCCATTATAATAAACCTTATGAGTTGAATAAATAATAATAAAAATGATTGATACATACTCTGTGGTTATCTTTGTATAGAAGAACCCGATCAGGATTCTGATAATGAAGCTCCTCCTAAAAACCAATTCCTGAAAGCCCCCGCGAAACCAGTCATTGATGACAAAAACGAGCCATCATAATAAACCTTATGAGTAGAATAAATAATGATAAAAATGATTGATACATACTCTGTGGTTATCTTTGTATAGAAGAGCCCGATCAGGATTCTGATAATGAAGGTCCTCCTAAAAACCAATTCCTGAATTCCGAAACCAGTCATTGATGACAAAAACAAGCCATCATAATAAACCTTATGAGTAGAATAAATAATGATAAAAATGATTGATACATACTCTGTGGTTATCTTTGTATAGAAGAGCCCGATCAGGATTCTGATAATGAAGCTCCTCCTAAAAACCAATTCCTGAAAGCCCCCGCGAAACCAGTCATTGATGACAAAGACAAGCCATTATAATAAACCTTATGAGTTGAATAAAAAATAATAAAAATGATTGATACATACTATGTGGTTATCTTTGTATAGAAGAACCCGATCAGGATTCTGATAATGAAGCTCCTCCTGAAAACCAATTCCTGAAAGCCCCCGCGAAACCAGTCATTGATGACAAAAACGAGCCATTATAATAAACCTTATGAGCTGAATAAATAATAATAAAAATGATTGATACATACTCTGTGGTTATCTTTATATAGAAGAACCCGATCAGGATTCTGATAATGAAGCTCCTCCTAAAAAACAATTCCTGAAAGCCCCCGCGAAACCAGTCATTGATGACAAAAACGAGCCATTATAATAAACCTTATGAGTTGAATAAATAATAATAAAAATGATTGATACATACTCTGTGGTTATCTTTAAATAGAAGAACCCGATCAGGATTCTGATAATGAAGCTCCTCCTAAAAACCAATTCCTGAAAGCCCCCGCGAAACCAGTCATTGATGACAAAGACAAGCCATTATAATAAACCTTATGAGTTGAATAAATAATAATAAAAATGATTGATACATACTCTGTGGTTATCTTTGTATAGAAGAACCCGATCAGGATTCTGATAATGAAGCTCCTCCTGAAAACCAATTCCTGAAAGCCCCCGCGAAACCAGTCATTGATGACAAAAACGAGCCATTATAATAAACCTTATGAGTTGAATAAATAATAATAAAAATGATTGATACATACTCTGTGGTTATCTTTAAATAGAAGAGCCCGATCAGGATTCTGATAATGAAGCTCCTCCTAAAAAACAATTCCTGAAAGCCCCCGCGAAACCAGTCATTGATGACAAAAACGAGCCATCATAATAAACCTTATGAGTAGAATAAATAATGATAAAAATGATTGATACATACTCTGTGGTTATCTTTATATAGAAGAACCCGATCAGGATTCTGATAATGAAGCTCCTCCTAAAAACCAATTCCTGAAAGCCCCCGCGAAACCAGTCATTGATGACAAAGACGAGCCATCAGACTCCGATGAATGGCCGTCTGATTCGGATACTAGCTCTGACTCTTCCGATGACGATGAGAGCAAATATACTAGCATGAGAGAACGTTTCTTGAAGAAATCCGGCACTACCCATGAAGATGATGAAGAGAAGGAAGAGAAAGAGCGCAGGAAGGAGGAGAAGAGGAAAGAGCGCAAGGATAAAGAGAGAAGGAAGATGAGAAGAGAGGACGAGGAAGATGGTGAAGGTGAATGGGAAACTGTTCAACGTGGTGTTGCCATACCTAGTGTGAGTAAATTGAAAATATTCTGCATTGGTGCTGTTTTTGTTCTTTGTCGTCCTGAAATATTGCTCAAAATACATAATTATATAGATAGGCATCAGTTTTCCAGAAGCTCCAGTTTTCCTGAGAATGTCTTGAAATAATTTTTTGCATTATTGTGGAAACATGAATTATTAATTTTTGACATGGAAGAGGACAGTTTTTTGAGACTAGCCATATGTTTGGAGTGGATAGAAGTAAAAAATTCCATAAGTCCCCAAACTTACAAGGTGAGCAAAGTGCAGGGGGTGACGTAGAAGGCCTATTTTTTGATTTATCGTTCATATCTTATGAACGGTTCGTCACAGCAAAATAGTCAAGCAATTCAAAATTGTAGCTGATAAAATCGTATCAGTTGATTTTTCCCGATCTCATAGTTATCGAGATATTCGCTAGCATATCAGGTGGATTAAATTTTTCAGAACCGAACATTTCTCAGGAAAAATATGAATAGTTAGTGAATTGGACCTTCTCATTTCGAATCCAAAGTGATTTTCAACCTATCTTTTCTCCTAATATCATTTTCCGGAAATGTGGGTGGTTCCATAGTGTGTATTTCCGGTATATTTCCCGCACCTGCAAATTTCAGAATCCTAACAACAATTACGGAAGATACAGGGGTGCATTAATTCAAGTGATACACTATACAGGGTGATGCACGGTGGATGGCCTATAATAAGTATCTGGAGAACGAGAAGACAGAACATTTTGAAAATTGGGATGCTTTGATAATGGAACATTCTCTATCCGTCTAAAATATTTTCATCGATACAGTGTTGCCACTTCTATCAGAAACAACTAGCAACTTCGTTATTTGAAATGGAGCACCCTGTATTTTATTGCATTTTCAGATTCTTCCTGAAGAGCTGATTTCATCAATGCATCACACTTGGGGTCTAGCAGGAATGAGATATAGGGTGTTCAAAATCGAGATTTTTCAATTTCAGGATTGTTTTGTGTCGAAACTATTCATTATCGATCAAAACGGCTTACATGTCCCTATCTTAACTTTCGATTCACTATCTACTGACATTTAATTGGAACAGATGCAGGGTGATCAGAATTCTGAATCTTGGAGCACCCTGTATTTTTTCCAATTTAATTCCAGTAGATAATGAATCAAAAGTTAAGATAGGGACATGTAAGCCGTTTTGTCCGATAATGAATAGTTTCGACACAAAAAAATCCTGAAATTGAAAAATCTCGATTTTGAACACCCTATATGTAATGTAATCATTTCTGCTAGACCCCAAGTGTGATACATTGATGAAATCAGATCTTCAGGAAGAATCTAAAAATGCAATAAAATACAGGGTGTTCCATTCAAAATAACAAAGTTGCTAGTTGTTCCTGATAGAAGTGGCAACACAGTATCGATGAAAATATTTTAGGCGGATAGAGAATGTTCAATTATCCCATCCACCGTGGATCACCCTGTATATGTATGTATATATACACTGTGTCGAAGATAAGGATATCTATCATGGTGATCGTTTTTATTTTTTTGACGTTATTTAAAGAGATATAGCGAAACAAAAGACACTTTTTCATTGCCATTTTTTGAGCTCTACAAAACAGTGTTGAGAGATTTTCCATACGACGTTTCGTTTCGGAGAAACCTTTATCAACTTCACCCCATTATAGACCTCCTAATCTTGGACACACCATGTATAAAAAAATACATATCTGTCATAACATTTCGAAGGTAATTGAATCCTTCGCTACTTCTACGTCGAAGACTTTGGTGAAAAACTGAAGGTTGAGCTGTCAAAATACTCTAGATAAAAAAACGATTTCGCTAGCGAATATTTCGGAAACAATGTAAGGTAGGGAAAAAACCTACTGAAACAATTTTGTAGACCATTTTATCAGCTATAAATTTGAATAGGTACTAAAAATATCTGGTCTGTTATTCATGTAAGATAAGTCATGAAGATAGCAAGGTATAGATTACGTCAAAATGTCATTGCCAAATGTTGATAAGAAATATTTTTGCTTTATCTGACAGAAATAGAGAATGGATACGTAATTCATATCTCATATGGGCTGGTCATGGTGGATGTCGATTAATTAGCAGCGTCACCATCGGTCGTTATTTATCTCAAATAGTATCTCATTTGTTAAGAAGCTCAACAGCTGTTGCATTTTTCTGATAGATAAACATTACCTGTATCCATTGTATAGAATTCTCGTCATTCTCGATACTGAAGATCTAATTAATCTGCTTTTCCTTCTCAGAAATACGGATTGGATTTAGAAGTTTCCCATTTTTTATTCAACCACTTCAAATTTTCATGTCCATGGAATATTAAAAACACCGTTTCAGAATAGTTGAAGAAAATTAGAGCACTATGGAAAAATAGTTTATGAAAATGATTTCAAAACTTGTAATTGAAAATGAGCATAATTTCGGAAATTTTGTGTCAGTTATAAATTCAATTTCTTATTCAAATATTTTTCACCACAGGAGAAACCGAAAATGTTCGCCAAAGATGCCGAAATCGATCTGAACCTTGTCATCAAGAAACTCAGTGAGATAATGGCAGCTAGGGGCAAAAAACGTACAGATCGACGCGAACAAATTGAACTGTTACACGAATTACAAAACGTCGCTGACCAACACCAGCTAGGCCCAGCAATAAACGTCAAAATCAAATTTGCTATCATCTCGGCCATCTTCGATTACAATCCAAAAGTTTCTGACGCGATGAAGCCCGAATATTGGGTCAAACTTCTAGATAGAATGCCGGAAATGTTGAACCTTCTGCTGAGCAATAGCAATCTGGTCGTTTCTGATTCTATCACAGAGGAAACCGAAAATCTGGAAGAACCTCCTTATAGCATTCGCGGATGCGTCTTGACTTCCGTAGAGAGGCTCGACGATGAGTTCACCAAACTCTTGAAGGAGTGTGACCCACACAGTAACGAGTATGTCGAGAGGCTGAAAGACGAGGCTAAAGTATCCAGCGTCATAGATAAAACCATGAAGTATTTAGAGAGGTCCAGCGTTCCATCCGAACTTTGTCGAATTTACTTGCGTAAAATCGAACATTTATACTACAAATTCGATCCGAGAGTTCTGCAGCAAAAGGCGGGTGATCCTGCTGTGTCCAAGGATGAAATCACTTCGGTACAGGAAATGGAGAAACTCTGCAAGTACATTTATGCCAAGGATGGCACTGATCGACTCAGGACGAGGGCGATTCTTTCACACATCTACCACCATGCTCTGCATGATAACTGGTTCCAAGCTAGGGACTTGGTCCTTATGTCTCACTTGCAAGAGACCATTCAGCATTCCGATCCTAGCACGCAGATATTGTACAATCGGACGATGGCTCATCTGGGATTGTGCGCTTTCAGACATGCCAATATCAAGGATGCCCACAACTGTTTGGTTGATCTGATGATGACTGGTAAACCTAAGGAGCTGCTAGCACAGGGTAAGTGTCAAACCAGAAATAGTTATTTGTTTTACTAGGCAGCAAAGTAGTAGATTGAGCCAAGGCAGTCAATCTACATTTGTTGCCGTGTGAAACATCTTTTTTTTTTCAAATGGTATAAGACCAATTTTGTGTAATTTTTTATATCAAAACTCTATCATTTTGGGTTCACCCAATGTCAGTGTCAATTTTGATCACCAATTTCATTCAAATTACTTGGAACGTTGCATAGCAACAAACTTTTCCAGCGTAAGCAGAGGAAGTACACCTTTCCTGTATGTTAAGTGTCATAGAAAAGCCACTTTCTATGCTGCTTGGAGAAAAAAAGTTGTGTTTTTACAACATCAAATGGATATACATCTGAAAGAAGATTGCCTACAGGATTTGTAATGCGTTCGAAGGTAGATACTGCAGATGGCCGACCATCAGAAAATATAACACATATACGTGTTGGATAATGAAGTATTCAACTGGACTACCGTTCCCCTTCTCTGCATACCGTTTGCCATATCCTCTCTATTAATCTCATTCTGACTGAGCCTGCTGGTCGACTGGCTGCTAAATCCATATGCCGGTAATTTTCTGTCAGATCTGTGTAAGAGTAAAATGTATGTTGACTATGGCTAATAAAAAATTCTGTCCAGAGCGGATTCTCAAAATGTCTCCTGTGAGAATCACATAGATTTTTTGATAGCCTTGGGAGATATTTTCGCACAGTTGAAAAATATTTGCATTACCTTTGCTACGTTGAAATGAGGTTAGATCATTCTTCTTTGCGGTATCCTTATCTTCCGTGTTTTATGCTCCTAGATATACCGCCTTTGGGTTTTGTACGCTTACACATTTCATGAATATTTGTATTTTTATTTATTTACTAGCTGTCTGGCCCGGCTCCGCACCGTTAGTGTACCCATTTAGAATAAAATAAGACATTTGTGGCAGTCATTTTGAGCTATGCGCGTATCTACAGTACATATTTTTTTTGTGCTTACCGATAGCTACTATTAGATACTCACAAACACCTTGCTTTTCCCATGATAATGTCTCATCAATTCAAATGCCAAGGTATTTCCATTTGTATTTAATGTTCATGTTTTATTCTAATATTAAGATCAATATTTTGTTTATTTCTTTGGCGAAAAATTATATATTGAGTCTTAATAGAATTAACAGAATGGGGTTTCATCCTCCTCTCCTTCCTTCCAAGGTGTCCTTTCAGCTCAAAGCTCTGTTATGCTTCCCGTTAGGTCCTATGCACGACTTGTTCGTATTTTGGCTGACATGTGATATATTTTTGGTTGTTTCTTTCAAAAATATCGTTAACTATTCAATCTCTGCTCAACTTCTTTCTCAATATCCTCCTATATAGTACTGCTCCAAATCCCACAAAGTGGTTCTGGTCCTACGAAAGGTCTGTTAACTCCATTTGCGCGAATATCTCTGCAATATCCATTCACTCTGGAATGTCCCTGAATCCATAATAAAAGGCTAAATGCATCATTCTTAGCGACCTTGTTATTGACATACCCATGCCGTCTTGGAACCAATTACTTCAGAGCTCAACGCTTCGATAATGACTGTGGAATGTATAACGGCTGCTTGGCCTTCAGTCAAGCATAACGATGAAGTTTTGTTTTTGACAATAGCATGAATTTCCGTTCGGGAATTTGTCAAGGCTTCTGTTCCTAGGCAAGGTCAATCTGCGGTTTTTGATTTTTATGAAATAATCAACTCATCTAGTTGTATGAGTGTGATGACATCTATTAATTTAGTACACAAATGAAAACATTTGATATTTTTCAACTGAATGAAATAATGAATGATAAGTTAAAACTTTGATACAGTCAGTGTTGACAAATTCGCTATTTTATTCTTTCTGGCATCAGCTTCTCATTGAATTCTTCAAGTTAACGATAAAATAATCCTATAGTATTTGTAAAAACATCTTCATTATATCCCATTTTTCAGGACTGTTACCACAGAGACAGCATGAACGGAGTAAGGAACAAGAGAAGATTGAAAAACAGCGACAAATGCCATTCCACATGCACATCAACCTCGAATTGTTAGAGTGTGTGTATCTCGTATCTGCTATGCTCATAGAAATTCCATACATGGCTGCCCACGAATTTGACGCCCGGCGTAGGATGATCTCCAAAACGTTCTATCAACAGCTTCGTAGCTCTGAAAGACAGGTACTGTACTTATCAACTTGTATCTATCATCATTCTCAGACTATTAGGTGTTTCACGGTGGATGAAACATTAGAAGTATCTATCGCTTTTATGTCAAGTCTACCGATATTTTAATGTTGACCTGGCAATACTGGCGAAGAGGTACGATGGCCGACCGAATCAATCTCTCTTGCTATATTGCCATGCACATGTTCTATGTGTAACTATTGGGCAAACATTTTGTATAACGATGGATGGATACATCGTTACATTCTTACATTAGTAAAACATATACGCCAATAATCCTAAATAATAATAATAATATGAGTTTATTAAAAAACGTTTACAAAATATACATTGGAATAAACATATAGGTAATTTGAATAAACTGGGAAAAACCTCACGAAGTTAACCTCGTATGCAGTCTCGGCCTATATCCATAGACAAAATGCGGCATTGCGAGTGCTCTACTATCATTTGAGAATCGTACGGAATAGACGAGACCCCAGTGCTGCCTTATGCTCCGGGGGATATTGAGTCCGTTGTGGAGAATGAGAGGTGCCGAATTTATTGGAACTTCTCATTCCCCTCCCTCAGGCAAATTCAAGCTAACAAGCCTGATGTAGTCCTCCTCGACCATCAAACCAAAGCGATGTTCGTGATCGAATTTTCGGCGCCAGCCGAAATCTTCTCTTCGAACTCCGCAGGCTCTATCCAGACTGGTGGAATGCAGAAGGCCGTCATACTTGGGTCATTGCGTTTACTAAGGGCACACGGTTCTTGGTCCCAGTGATTATTCACCCCACATCAGGCGTAGGTGGGGAGTAGTCACTGGATTTCATCCAGCACGACTCTGCGTGGCGTCGGAGGCCGCAGAGTCGTGACTGGAATAATATGAATTCAATAATAATGATAATAATAATAATAAACACTTTCATTTGTAGAAACACGAATAAATGTACAATAGAGACAAAAATGTGTGCATTTCTACCAAAGGGCAGAGTTAGCTTTTGTCTTATCCCTAAAGGAACAGACAAGTGCTTTCTTCCACTCAACCTTAACTAGGAAATAACAAAAATCAAAGAAAAAAAAAAAAAAGAACAACAAAATACATAAAAATTCTTTGAACTTATATCTAGCAAAATATTTTACGCTCTATATAACTACAGCCAAGATTGACACGTGATCAGAAAGTGATTTTGGACTTGTTACAACTGCAATTCACAAGTTGAAAGCAGTTTTTTCATACGACTTTTGAAACCCAAGATATTCATTTCCTTCAGAGCATCCGGAATCCGGTTGTACAGCTATGAAATCTAGTAAGAAAAAGAGGATCGATATTGACTAGTGGTGTGAATGGATGGAGTTAGCCGAGATTTAAAACGGACATTCAGTTATGGATGTCAGTGCGAAAGGTGATCTTCCGGAAAAGATATGGAGGTTTTTGAGTCATGACTACCTTTTGAAATAAAGTACAGGCATGCAAAATCCCCCTCCTCTCAATATTCAGCCAACCTAGTTCACTAAGTGGACTAGATATATGATCTCTTCTAGCTTTATACATACATACCTTTATTCAAATAATTAGACACAGATAGTTTGAGGGTAGCGGAAATCGCAGACTATTCGAATATCACAATATTTATGGGTAGTGTGGAAATATAAACGAACAACAATAAATATGAAGACCTAAGAACAATGTTATGTTGATTACCATTACGGCGAGTCGAGAGTAGCCCCAGACCAGATAACTTTGGAACCCTCACATCCTATTTATTATAGGTTTGCACGTTCCTCATGAGAGTTTCTTGATCATTATCCGAAGTTCAAACGTGATTCGAACTCTTTTTTAATCGTGACAATACTGACAGTATTGAAAGTATTGGCATTATTGACAGATGCACCAACATGATTTTCAACCAGTCAGATGTTAAGTTCACAAAAACGAATTTTTCTTCTGAATAACTTATTAGAAAGCAAAGTAGACTCCTTGATTTTTCGAGTCATACAATTCCAGCTGAAGGAATTACTCCATCGGAAAATAAAATCAAGGCAATTCGTGATTTTCCAAAACCAAAAAATTCTTCTCCTTCCAGTAATATCTCAAACTTTGGTACCACTTTACACACTTTTAACTGATCTACAAAGAAGTAAAAGCAAAAATATAACTTATTGGTCCAGTGAATGTAAAAAAAAAGTATTTCAGATGTTGAAAATGAATTAGTAGATATTGTTACTTTAGCTCACCCAGTAGATGATGCACATCTTGTTCTTACAGTAGACGCATCAAATATTGCACTCTGGGCTACAATTGAACAAAGTAATAACAATTAACTACTATCTTTTGGATTCTCCAAAAACCTTATCAATGTATTGAGGACATACCTGAAAGACCACAAACTTTATGTTGAATACGAAGGAGTTCAATCCTCACAGTTTATAGCTACATCAGGTGTGCCTCAAGGCTCAAATTTGGGACCCTTATTATATTTGTTATTCCCTCATATTTGCTGACGACATGAAAGTTTTCAGAAGGATTAACGACTTATCAGATGCCATTTCCTTACAAAATGATCTGAATCTGTTGAAAAACTTGTGTTCAATAAATAAACTATCGCTCAATGTCAGCAAATGTAAGGTGATGACGTATTCACGGAAAAATAATCCTCTTATGTACCACTATGTCATCAATGATGAATCTCTAACACGAGTCACACAACACAAGGACTTGGGTGTCATATATGACTGCAAACTTGCCTTCTCAAGTCATTATGAAACAATGATCTCCAAAGCTATGAAATCCTTGGGTTTTTTAATTCGTACTTGTAGTGAATTTAAATCATTAGAAGCACTTTGTCAGTTATACTTTAGTTTGGTTAGAAGTAAACTGGAATACTGCAGTCAGGTATGGAATCCGTACCACCAATTAACAATTTCTGCTATTAAAATGGTACAGCGTAAATTTCTGATATACTTATTTTACAAAAAATATAAAGTCTACCCCGAAAGGAACTATAATTATGACCTTCTGTTGAATGAGTTTAAGTTCCAATTGCTGAAGAAGAGGAGAGAAATAGGTGATTTACTTTTTGTTTATAAAATTATACACAATACTATAGACTCTTCAGTATTACTTTCGCAAATCGAGTTCAGTATACCCCGATTAGCCTCTCGGTATCAAAATACATTCCACATTAATGTGTCTAACACACAGCACCATTTTCATTCCCCAATCAATTCAATGTGCAGAAATTATAATAAATTTGGAACTGTAGATATATTTTTTCTCACCTCAAAACAATTTAAACAAACCATTTCCAGTTTAGTTCCTAACTAAAATTTTAACTAACTTAGATTATACCTAATTGAAATCACACTCAACCATATGTATAGTAATCTCTATTATATACTCCTGTAATTGGGCCTTGACCTGCTGGATGTATTACAAATTAAATAAATAAATAAATAAATAAAATTATTTGAACCTCTAGCATTCTTCTCGAGAAAATTAAGTGCCACAGAGAAGAGATACTCCGCATTTGATAGTGAACAATTTATGCAGCAACCAAACATTCAAACATTTTCTAGAAGGTAGAAACTTTACCATTTTTAATAACCATAAACCAGTAGCTACAGCGCTAAAAACTAACACTGATAGAAGGCCTCTCCAAATTCGACAAATGGAATATATTGCTCAATTTTCCACTGACATCAGACATATTCAAGGAAAACTGTGGTTACTGACACCTTGTCCAGACCTGCCAATTTCGAATAATTCATTTTCCGAATTGAATATTACCGAATTATGCAAAGTTCAAAACAAAGATCCACAGTTGAAAGAATTATTCTATAATTCAAAATCCAACTTTTCCCTGAAAAAAATAGAAATAACATTCATGAATATCAAGATTTATTGTGATATTTTAAATTCTAAACAACGACCATATATTCCAAAGGAACTTCGTAAAATTATTTTCGACAAAATACATGGATTTTCCCACCCTGGTATTTGTGCAACAAGAAACTTGTTAAGTAGCAAATATTTCTGGCCACAACATATGAATACTGATGTTGAATTATGGACCAAATCATGCATGCATTGTCAATTATCAAAAATTAATAAGCACACTAAATCACCAATTCTAACCCTTTTCGATTCCAGAATGTAGATTTTAACATATTAATATGGATATAGTAGGACCACTGTCAGTTTTAGATGGTTATCGATATTTATTAACAATAGTTGATCGTTTTACTCGATGGCCAGAAGTTTTCCCTGATAAAACATTATGACGCACACCATTGCTAAAACTTTCTTTCAAAATTATGTCAATAGATTTGGTGTACCGCATACTCTTACTACAGACCAAGGAGTTCAATTTGAATCTAAAATACTCAATAGAGGGCAATAAGAAAGTTTCTTTCGCAATTAATTGATTAGTCAATAAGTACAGTTATTCTTATGGATTTCTTTTCGTCGGGGGGGAGTATTGTAGCATACTTTCAGTTTATTCCATCCTGTATTCAATCGTAAAGAAGAACAAGATTGTATTTTATCACATGGCGTGGCAATGCTTTTGGTATATTGTTCCATTCAATAATCTATCTTTTCCGTCGACCTCGTATTAACGACTAAGTTTAATGTATATGAAATCGTTCATTAATGACCCCTATTAATGAACGATTTGTCTATTAATGTACGCTTGTTTTATAGGCAACCAAACATACACCGCGTGCATTCATTGTTTATGCTATAACTTACGGAATCTGCATTTAAATCGAAAATATGGATTTCATTGAAGATTTTCTGTTAACGAGTTCACCTTTCCAAATTTCTGACACGATTTTAATCCCTGTTTTCTAACACAAGGAATTTATTTTCTATGTTGATCATTTCGACAAATGTCAAATGTCACTAATGTCAGTGACAAGGCTACTGGGTGATTCTTAGCAGTTTCCAGATGAATGATGAATTCGCGAACCAAGTTTTCTTCATTGCAGGAGAAATGAGAAATATAGTC